AAGGGCTGGGATTAAGGACATGTGCCACAATGCCCAGCTATGAAGCAATATTTTAAAAATAAAATAACACTCTCAAGACTTCAGAACACATTTTAAGAACACAATGTATTAGTAGAATTTGTATGGATAAGGGGTTTAGAAAAATATTCATTATGGGGCTAGAGAGATCTGAGTTCGGTTCCCAGCACCTACAGCAGGCAGCCCAAGGGATCTGATACTTTCTCTGGTATGTATACATACATACATACATACATACATACATAATCTCCACATATATATGATCTCTCTATAATTTCCACATGTATATATAAAATCTAAAAATAAAAATATCTTTAAAAATAGGTAAATTTTTAAAAAAAGAAAAATATTCACTAATCTCTTTTCTAATTCACTCTCAACAGCCTCAGGAATTATTCTGACAATCTCTTAGAGAGAAAAAAAACCACAAAATATGCAGTAGAAAAATCCTCCTAAGGAAGAGGGGCAGAGGGAAGAAGACAGAAAGCAGATGGATGGACACTAGCTCAGCATCTATGAAACAGTCTCCAGACTGCAGGGCTGCTCTAGGGTTCTCAGAGCTTCACAGAGGAAGATGAAGTCCTGCCTTTCCCGAATGACTAAGGGCCACAGGAAGCTGGTAGTTTCTCTAGAAGCCTCCCTGTTCCACTACATTTACCCTCCGCATGGGTCACTCATGCATAGGCTACTGAAGAGCTACCAGGAAATGCCACTCATTCTCAACTTCAGAAACTAGGACAAGAAATGTGATGGTGGCTCTTGTTCTGAGGGATGGTTGCTCATGCTGTAGCTGCTGTTAAGACACAGGGCCTCATGTGTAGCCCAGGCTGGCCTGGAACTAGAGATTCTTGTTCCTTACAATCCTGGGATTGCAGGCATGCACCACCATGCCCAGTTTGAGACACAATAAACTGAAACCATCTTGTGGGTCTATTTGGAAATTAGATTTTGCTCTGAATTTATGACTCTTTTTAAAAGGTTTGGCACTCTCATTTCCATTGCTCCGTTGTTTCATTATAAAGAAACTACACTGAAGTCTAAGCTCTCACCACAATCCTCCACAACAGTTTCGTTACTATAGTAACTAGACTCCGAGCTGACTGATGCACTGTATTACAAGTGGCATGCCTCCATCTGGGGTAGGAAATCACTATGACAGGGTAAGTAAGATGGTTTTCCATGTTTAACACAGAATAGAACTGTACATTTCCCAGGATTTTAAAAAGTAACCTCTAATTACTTTTCTCTGTTTTCTATAATTTCTATGTGCAAATATCTGATTCACTGGTATTATGGCAGACATGACTGCTTTTCATGATAAAAAGTTAATGTTAGGGCTGGGTCGGTATAGAAGGTGGTTGCTGGACAAGTATGAGGACCAAAGTTCAGATCCCCAGGACTCTTGTAAAATCCTGGTATGGCCACATGTGCCTGTAACTTAGAGACAGGCAGATCTCAAGAGCCAGGCTGGCCAAAATGGTGAGACCCTGTTCTCAGAGATGGAGCAATGGCTCAGAGGGTAAGGAACAGGGTGCCCTTCTAAGAATCCAGGCTCAATTTCCAGCACCCATAAAGTAGGTCACAAACTATCCGTAACTCTAGATCTATGGTATCCGATGCCTCTTCTGGCCTCTGAGGGCACCAAACACACAAGTCATGCACAGACATATATGCAGGCAAACACCCATGTACATAAAATGAAAGCAAGCCTCTTCTCAAGGGATTACGATGGAGAGTCATAGAGAAGGACACTCAATATTCCCTTCTTAGAGCATACACATGCACACACAGACAGACAGACAGACAGACAGAGTTAACATCCTAAAGTTACAATTCCTAGGCACGTCCCCAGAGCAGAGGTCATCAACTGTACAGAGGCAGGTGACTCAGTGTGTGTCTTGACTGTCTTCTCTTCAGATCACTAATTTTAGATACTTTGTTTCGTTTTTGTCTTTTGAGACAACTTCTCTAACTACCCTGGCTAGCCTGGAACTCAACTGAGATCTATCCTCCTGCCTCTGCCTCCCAAGCTCTGAGATTACAAACGAACCTTCTTCACCTTCTTACACCCCCAGCTTTCTCCTCCCCTCTCCCATTCAACGCTGAGCTATAGGACTGGAAGGTTTGACTCGGATGGAACTAACAGAGCAATGGAGACACTGGTCTCTGGTTTAGGAACTCTGGGCACAATGAGAGTAGTACCGTCTTCAAATTAAGACCCTGGATACCCTGGTTACGGCCAGGAGTCTGTCAGTCAACAAAAGCCCTGTAAATCAATAAACTCTAATTGTTAAGAGGTCAAAACCAGCTGGGCGGTGGTGGTGCTTGCCTTGAATTCCAGCATTCAGGAGGCAGAGGCAGGCGGATGTCTGAGGACAGCGAAAGCTATCTTGAAACCACCGTCCCAAAAAAGATAAAAGAAAAAAAAGTCTTAAAATAGTCAAAAGTACCCTGAACAGTGCCCATCACACAGCTGAGACTGAAGGTTAACCTTCCCCTTGTCCTAACTTGAAAGAGCAACTGACCTTCAGAGGATGAGGCTTCTTGCCCTCAGACTCAGGGTTACTTCTGGCAGGGCTCTCAGCGCACAGCCAGGCCTTACTCCTTTCTCCCAAGCTGCCCAGATTTTATCCCCACATGATGACATGTGTCTGCTGTTGGACTCCCAGATCTAAAGCATGCTTATCTGCAGCTTTTGTTCAAATAGCAACTGCTGAGCTAGAGACTTTTTCTGTGGCCTGGATGCCATTTTATCTAAAATGCCTTTAATACAACTTCATCATGAACAGAGAAACAGACTTGGAAATAACTCCCGCTGGAGCATTAAGGCTGCGCTGGAGGCAGGCAATGGCAGGGTTGGAAGGCTCACAGAAGGCACGCATACGCCAGCACAATCATTAACACCGACTGAGACTGAGAAGACACGCTGTGCCAGAGCCAGACCCCGCCTGTTCTTACGGAGGAAAGCTAACAATCACTGCTTCAGGGTACAGAGTGGGCTTCTCTGGAGCTCTCGGGGGGGCCGTCACTCTGCGCTGGCACGCTCTGGGATCAGTACTTTCAGTGCAGAAGTGGGCAATTTCCAAGATATTCAGGAAAATAAGCTCAGTGGGTATTTTCTCCCCACAGACTTGGAGAGTCACAAAGCTTTAAAACTAAGGATACATTATGGAAGGTTCTTCATACCGTGGGGCACGTCACTCTGGTGACAACTTTATTATATGTTGTTTCTGAGCCAGGGTTCGTTCTCTTGGGTCACCCGCTTTTAAAAATGTTCAAAACTCTGTAAGCTCATGGGAAAGGTCTGAACGGATAAACATCACGGACCCCTAAAAGCTGGGGTCTTCCAGGAAAGAACACTGATGACCTGGCTGGAGGGGGAGGAGTCATCATGGGCCTTGTAAACCTTCACTTTATCCTCCTGAAAGTTAATAGAGCATGGGATCAAACACCGGTAACACCTGTACTTGGGAATGGGCGGGCAGGGGGAGGGGAACTGCAAACCTTGTCTCTGGGAGGGAAAATTATCTTGTTTGTACTAGAGAGCTAAGATTTCTAGAGAAAACCAAAACCCTCAAACCCTAACTTTAGCTGTTCTATTGATCTAATACATAACCCTAGAAAATGCACATCCTTGGTAGTTTCTGGCTGTAAGACCCCAATATCTATTTCCTATGTATCAGTTTTTGTATACGGAGTACAATACTTTCAGGTACACCAGCCCTCAAACACCAATCAGCTTGCAGCAGTAACGCCTCCCAGAGTCTGTAAAGGAGAAGTAGGCCCCATGCGCTCATTCCCCACCAGATTCGGCATTCCTGGTCTCTTGGACAAGCAGGCACTGTGCTCAACTGCTCAAAGAAGTCTTTTCAAAGCATGGCAGCCAGCTCATTTGTTCCGAGCTAAAACTGGAATAGGAGAACACCACGTAGCTTTGGACATAGTAAGGGTGTGTGTCTGGGGTATGGTCTAATTTTAGGAGTTAGACTGAGAAGCTTCCTTTTTGAATATATGTAGAAAAATAAAAGTAATAGCAGGGTCACTGCGTGACTTATTCCACTCTTAAAACAGCTCTGTCCAGCAGGAACAGAGCAGTGTCTTCTCAGGAGCCTGCAGTCATTCCAACTCTTATTCTCTGATATCAAAGGCTTATTTTCTACATTCTCCAAAGGGGTTCCTCAAAGACTGGCTATTTTCAACAAATAAACTTTTTTCCCTTTTTGAAATAAGAGTCTCTCTCACTCTACAGCTCAGGCCAGTCTTGAATGAACAATCCTCCTGCCTCTGCCTCCCAAAGAAGAGTCACCCATCCCAATTAACAAATACGTTTTTAAATCTTCAGCATTTCAAAAACTGTTCCAAGGTCAAGCATGGTAGTGTAAGCCTTTAGTCCCAGCACTCAGAGGTAGGTGGACCTCAGTGAATTCAAGGCCAGCCTCATCTACAAAGTTAAGTTCCAGGATAGCTAGATCTGCTACACTGAGAAACCCTGTCTTGAAAAGCCTATTTTAAAAAAAAAAAGAAAGAAAGAAAAACTGTTCCAAAGAAGTAAAAAATAAATAAAGCACAGGCAAAGACCCCGTGGGATGCTAACCTAACTGGGAAGCGCTCTCTGACAACTCTCAGGATAAATAACTGTCTGCCGTCACACGGCAGTCTGACAAGTTTTCCCTAGACACTATTAACAACTTGAAATGCTTTAAAAGTAATTAGTAAACAAGGCTGAGGCATTTATCTATGTCAAGGGCACTATGTGGAGCTATGAGGATGGTTCAGTGTTAATCAAACACACACGGGCCCTGGTGGTGCACCACCACCCCTTCACTCTAATGTTTGTAACATGTTAAATCTAGCCTCAAACAGAAAGTTTGAATACCGTGTGCTTCCTTCATGGGCAATCAAAGCAAAGGGCAGGAAGAGGATCCAAGCTAGAGAAAACCTACACACTTGCAAGGCCGTTCCACACCACAGCCACGTCTTACCTTTTCAGATCGACGGTTGTGACGCTAAACACAACTCCTTTGAGCCAAAGGATCATGAAGAGCCTCTGTGAGAAGGGGCAGTTTCCGATGCTCTCACCATCACTGCCAGCCTGCAAACAGAATGAAACATTTAAAACCAAGGTCAAAAATGAGGGCATTCAAGCAGCAGAACTCCTACGAATTCCGATCTGAAATATTAGGAGTGGCAAGGAGAGCGGAAATGCAGGTCTTACATCTGCCTCAGTTTCTTCTTAGAAATGGCCAGTCCAGCAGAGCACTGTTCCAGATGCCTTTGTATCATAAAGGAGACTTTGTCACCACTTTCCAATGTGGCGGCCAGCAGCAACATCTTGCCAATGACTACTTAAAATAAGGGTAGTCCCAATCTAATGAAGACATCATTTTATTTATCTTTCTTTCCTTTGTGTGTGTGTGTGTGTGTGTGTGCGTGTGTGTGTTTGTTTGGTTTTTGTTTTTTGAGACAGGGTTTCTCTGTAAAATAGTCTTGGTTATTCTGGAACTCACTTTGTAGAGCAGGCTGGTCTTGAACTCACAGAGCTCTGCCTGCCTCTGCCTCCCAAGTGCTAGTATTAAAGGCATGCACCACCTCATTTTACTTATCTTAAAAAAAATCACATTTGTTCTGATTTTGCGGCAAGCCTGGTCACAGAGTGAGTTTCAGGAGTGTTACACAGAGAAACTCTGCCTTGATTAAAAAAAAAAAAAAAAGTCATGTTTGGCTAATAGCTGTGTGATGATTTGACTGAGGTGATGACTGAGGCGCTCCCCATATTTTTTGGTATTTGAATACTTGGTCCCCAGTTTGTGGCACTGTTTGAGTATGATTAGGAGGTGTGGCTTTGGTGGAAGAAGTATGTCACTGGGTGTGGACTTGGAGGTTTCAAAATCCATAAGCCATTTCCAGTTTGTTGTTTCCTTTTTGTGGTTTGAGGTGTGAGCTCTCGGCTGCTGCTCCAGCAGCCAAGCCTGGCACCTGCTGCCACTCTCCCCACTTGTGGAGGGCCGGACCACATTCTCCATTGCTTCTAGGAACAAAGGTAGAGATTGACCTCTGTGACCCCAAGGTGTGGCGGTACACGCCTTTAGTCCTGTTGCCTGTGCAGCAGAGGCAGATTGACCTCTGTGACCTCAAGGCGTGGTAGTATACGCCTTTGGTCCCAATGCCTGGGAGGCAGAGACAAGCAGATCTCTGTGAGTTCAAGGTGATGTAGCACACGCCTTTAATCCCAGCGCACGTGCTTGGTAACTCTCTACCGCTGCGTCCCTGCCTACTCCCGAGGCATCATCTGGGATAATGGGCAGTGGACCCATCCAAGAGTGACACGTCAGAAGCGAGGACTGTTTCCTTTATAAGGGTTGGGTTCCATCTTATCTGGGTCTCCGCCATGTTGGCTGATGCCCGCTCTCCCAAGGGGCATTAAAGCTTTACTGCAGAAGTATCCTATGTGTACCGCGTGGTTCTTGCTGGCGAGACGGTAGCGCGGGACACCCACTGTGACAGTGATGGACTCGCTTTTATTCCTCTAGAACCTGAAGTCCAAAACAAACCCTTCCTTCTACAAGTTGCCTTAGCCATGGTGTCTATCAGAGCAACAGAAAGTAATTAACAAAGGCTGCTATGTTGAAAAGTTCACCACACCCAAGGACACATATATCCCTAACACAGGCAAAAGGCAAAGTCTGCCATGGGTCTGAGAGTATTCCTTCTTTCGCGGAGGTGGGGGGTGAGGAGTGGGGGGGGTGCGGCAGGGTTTCTCAGTGAAGCCCTGACTGTCCTAGAATTCACTTCAAAGACCAGACCAGCCTCAAACTCACGGGATTTTCCTAATCCGGCCTCCCAAGTGCTGGGATTAAAGGTGTGTACCAACACAACCAGCAACAGTATGCTGCATAAGGCAACATAAACCAGGAAATTTATAGATGTCTGTCTCCAAAGAGTCAATCATCTCCCATTAAAGACGGATCCATTGCCGGGCAGCGGTGGCGCACGCCTTTAATCCCAGCACTTGCGAGGCAGAGGAAGGAAGATCTCTGTGAGTACAAGGCCAACCTGGTCTACAAAGGGACTTTCAGGACAGCCAGAGTTAAACAGTGAAACTCTTGTCTTGAAAAACCAAAAAGAATCCATTATAAATATCCTCCACCCTTGTTATCCATGGAGCAAGGAAACCTGACACCTTTACAAAGCTTTTCCTAATCTACCTCATGAATGAACAGTTAACTTCCCTGAGTGCAGCAATGAACACGGCAGAATTTTCCGAAGTCCAAGCCAAACACCACTTTAATTTTTACAAGGTATGTGCCAAGATTAAAAGGGAGATGGATGAGGGGTGAATTTACAGCTCATACCTACAAGGCAGAGGCAGAACGATCAGGAGTTCAAAATTATCCTTATTATATCGCAAGTTGGAGGTCAACCTGAGCTACACCTCAGGACAGAAACACTCTGGTCCTGCACAACATGGCCAAGAACATTTTCTCATCTCAGTTTATATGAATCCTTCTGGGGCTTGGACTCACCAAAGCAAAACAGGGCACAAGGAATATGGAAGTCTATCTACTTGTTTGCACACGCAGCAGACACAAGGAATATGGAAGTCCATCTGCTTGTTTGCACACACAGCAGACACAACCATGTGAGCGAGCGCCCACGCGCAGAAGGCAATTGGCATTACCACTCGCTATGCAAGCAACGTACCAAGAATTATTTAGTTTCCTTTGGGGTAAAAAACCATTTGAGGGGCTGGAAAGATGGCTCAGTGGTTAAGAGCATTGCCTGCTCTTCCAAAAGTCCTGAGTTCAATTCCCGGCAACCACATAGTGGCTCACAACCATCTGTAATGGGGGTCTGATGCCCTCTTCTGGCCTGCAGACATACATACAGACAGAATATTGTATACATAATAAATAAATAAATATTAAAAAAAAAACATTTGAGGCTGGGTGGTGGTGCACACCTTTAATTCTAGCACTCAGGAGGCAGAGGCAGACAGATCTCTGAGTCTGAGGCTGGCCTGGTCCACATACAGGGCTACACAGAGAAATCCTATCTTGGGAGGGAAAAAAAGCATTTGAACTCATGGGGTTTTTTGTTTTTTGTCTTTTGAAACAGGGTTTCTCTGTAGCTTTAGAGCCTGTCCTATAACTAGCTCTTGTAGACCAGGCTGACCACAAACTCAGAGATCCGTCTACCTCTCCCTCCAAGTGCTGAGATTAAAGTTGTGCACCACTGCCGCCCAGCTGAACTCATGTTTTAAAGAAATTAAGTCAAAAAAAAAAACCTTTCTATTTCTTTTTTTCTGCCTCCAGGTTAGTAGTCGAGGGTATAGCTCAATGCTATAGTGCTACCAAGGCCCTGGGTTCCACATTCAATGCCAAAGCTCCTCAAATAAATCAAATAACAGGCATCACAGAGAATTTGGAAAAAAGAAAAGGGGACACCCATATAAAGAGGATCCCAGACACCACTGTAATCAGAAGTCATAGTTACAAATATACTTTAATTTTTAAAAATACTAATCTTATTAATAACAAAATATAAATAGAATTTGTAGTCAGAATGAATCATAAAGTCCTAACACTGCAAACTGCAAAAATTTACTTTCTAAAGCAGGTCTACTTCTTTAGCTTCATTGTGTCTTAAAATAATCCAAAGGGTTGGAGAGATGGCTCAGTCGTTAGGAACACTGACTGCTCTTCCAGAGAACCCTGGTTCAATTCCCAGAACCCACATGACAGCTCACAACTATGTATAACTCCAGTTCCAGGGATCCAAAGCCCTCCTCCAGCCTCCATGAGCACCAGGCACAAACATATATGCAGGCAAACATTCATACACCTAAAATAAAAACATACAATGTTTTTAAAGAAACAAAGAAATGAACCGGAGAGATGGCTTAGCAGGTAAAGAGCTTGTCATATGGCTGATGACCTAAGTTTGATTCCCCCAAACCCACATAACGGTGGAAAAAGACAGCCTACTCCACAAACTTGCCCACTGGCCTACCTCCACCTGTGGGCTGTGACGAGCGTACACACACAGAACAGTAAGAAACAAATAGTAAAATAATAAAACTCAAGGAAAGCATTCAAAAACAGACTCTGGCTTCACATTGCAAGACTGCAATTTCAGAGAATCCAGGGTGGGGGCAGGACCCTAAGTTCACTATAGGCGCCCACAGAGATACAAAGGGAAAGGAGAGTGTGTGCGGGTCATCCTGGTAAGCCAGGTAGGAAGGTCGAGAAGGCTCTGGCTTCTCTGTCAGTTCACAGTTCTAAGCTCTGTACTGTGGTTGTTCCCAGAGACCCAGTGGGGCACCCAGACACCCACTTTCCTGAGCCTACAGTGCTGCAAGTTCTGCCCCTGCTCTTGCCTCCTCTCACTGCGCTCCCTGTCAGGACTGAACAGAAGAGTCGAGCAGACCCAGGATTTTACAATGAAATGCCCAGGGTTCCACTGAGAAATTCCATGTAATACCAAGAACTCAACCCTGAATTTTTAAAACTCATCCAGCAGATGCCAAGAGCAAGAAGACCAAGATAAAAAATTACCTGACAAAATAGCTAGGAACTGTGGTAAAAAGGCTTCAACAAACAAGTATCAGTACCTTCAGACAAATGAAAAACTAGCAAGCCTCAGCAAAATAGTCTAAACAGGAAACTCGAAGAACCACTTAGAACTAAAGTTATAGTAACTGTTTGCTTGGAAGTGTCACCCCAGCCCCTGGCATTCATTTTGGAATGTTTGGGTGGAAAGTCCCAATTCAAGCCCTGTCCCCTGGGAGTTGCCACAGTCCAGACTCCACCTCCGAGAAAGCCCGCCAAATGGTGACCCCTCCCCAGAGAGGGTCAAGACCACTTCCACAGGCTATTTAAACTGCCCCAGAGAACAAACAGTGGTCTTCCCGGATCCCCCCACACATGTTGTCCCAGAGGGCCACCAGGTGCGCTGGCAACCATTAAACCTGGGCCTTTTTCTAATTTGGTTTGATTTGGTCTGACTTGGATTATTGTGACAGCGGAGAGGTTTATAGGGCCAGAAAAACTTCACAGTAGCCAAAATAAGAGGCTCAGAAGATAGACTCCATTGTGATTGCCAGTAGTGTCTCCCAAAGGCTCTCCTGTTAAAGGCTTGGCCCCATGGCCTACATGG